CCCCCCTTTGTCCTTTTCTTCCTTTCTGCCTGCCGTTCTAGCGCATCAGGGCAGGCACCTATGATCCTACGGCGGATGGTCCTAACCAATCAGCACTCAAGGAAGAGCAAGGCAGCGCGTGCAACAGCGCGGCCCAGAGGTATAAGTTGGGGGCAAGGCCATATGGGCCCTCGCAGCTCAGTGGGTGGTAGAGTGAGGTGGGTCGAAAGGGGGGAGAGAGGGTTTGCGGAGAAGGCTCCTGATGAGACCGGGGCGCCAACAGCGACGCCGAGAGGTATACGTTAAGGGCAAGGCCGAATCGGCCCTCACAGCTCAGTGGGTGGTAGAGTGAGGTGGGTCGAAAGGGGGGAGAGAGGGTTTGGGGAGAAGGCTCCTGATGAGACCGGGCCGCACCCCGTTCAAACTGGCACGTGTAGAGGGACGCGTGCGCGTTTGAGCAGTATACATGTATGTAAGAAGCGACGTTTTTTATGGACGTCGTGTGAAGAGTAATTTGGCCATTGCTTACCTTCCTTCTCCTGCGGTTCACCGGGCAATCCTCTCGGACTTTATATCGTCACAAGGTTATCAAAGCGCGAAAGCGAAAAAAAAAAAACAGAAAAAAAACAAGATTTTTTTTTTTTCCGTTATAGTCAAACAGAACTGGCTACGGTAAACCGTAGGGGCAGAGAGGCAGAGAGGGAGAAGAGGACTTTATGTTACTCGGTCAAACAATAATTTTTTTTTTGTAGGGGGCGGGGGGAGGAAAGGGCGAGAGTCTAACACATGAAAGCAGGCTTTTAGACTTTTTTGAAGTTTTTTCTCTTCTTTTGTCATCACGACTGCTTGAAAGTTTTTTTTTTTTTTTTTTTTTCCCTCCCTCCCTTTTTTTGCCCCCTCCCTCCCTTTTGTTTTTGGCCCATTTCTCGATTTTTGCATGTCATCGTTGAAAGCGCACAGGGTTGAGATAACTCTGCTTCGGTGCAGAGTTACTCTGCAGCGAGTTAGTCCAAACGCACATGAGCAGATACGAAGAGTCTAGCCAAAAAAAAAATTTATAAAATAAAAATCCCCCACAAAAAACCCAAGCACTCGCACTCTTCATGATAGGAAAAAAATTCTCTCCAAACTCAAAACCGCGAAGTTTTTTTTTTTTTTTTTTTTTTTTTAAATTGACGAAAGGAAAGTAACGATGAGCACAGAGCGATTCAGACAGAGCTCAGTACGCACCTCCGTGCATGAGCTCAGTAATTATGAGCTCATGCACGGAGGTGCGTGTACCCTGAGGCGTTTCGGCCGAGCGCGGAGGGGCCATAATACAGTAATTAATCTTCTCTGTACCGTTGCAAACGGTATTATATTTGTTTTTTGAAGAGTCGATCATATTTCATTACCGTTCCAATTTTTTTTACGGGTGTCCCGAAGGATGAGTATTTGAAAGCGAGTCCGGCGGGAAAAGAAAAAGCAAAAAAAAAGCAAAAAAAAACGCAAAAAAAAAGCAAAAAAAAA